ATTGATTATAATCAAAATCTCGAATCGGATTATTTAGTTAAATAATCGAAATTTTAATCGATTATAGTCCATAGTTTTAACACGATTTTTGCACCAAAATCGAAATTATAATCGATTAAAATCACTTTTTCAATCAACATCAATCGATTAATACTGCTTTCTAATTGATTAGAGTTGATTATCAATCGGATTATAATCGATAATGATTTCGATTATGGTACAAAATAATCGGGTTCTTAATTTCGATTATCACCACAGGATTTGGTAATTTTAATCTATTTTAATCCTAAATTTGTTCACTTGGTGTACGGATTGATAGTACTTCCTCCACTGATCGCTGCAAACTTCATCGATTTTGCATTGATATATTTCCAAGCATTCATTAAGATGGGAAATTTTTCATTTCTTAAATCAGTTTCAATGGAACGCGTTCTTTCCGCCTCCTACTATGACAGATCTTATTCTTGCAAATAATTATAACAAAAATATGATAGAATCATCGAAAAAAACCTATACTAAACATGTGTGTAGACATATTTCACATGCATTTGAAAATTTAAAACATTTAAATATTATTGAAACACTCGATTCATCATATGCAGCTTTATCACTAGGTTATTTACAACCAAACAATTGAGTAAATTTTTCGTTCGAATGTGTTACAAAGACGATTCGTCACTAATCATGCACAATATGGCAATTTCTAACAAATAAAACGAGTCATTGAAGTTGATTTTGACATGTAAGAGAAGTTTCGCAACTAGATCGATCATCCAACCTTAGAATCAGTTGATGGCTGCCATTGACATATATCTTGTTTTACACAATTGGTCCTCCACATTAAATTGAGTTTACAAAGTATTTTTTCAAATCCTGCAATGCAATTTGATGGCCTTATATAAGTATTGAAACATGAAGGACTTTAGCAAACGGTTACAGTAAGGTCATTTCCAGTTTTTCGTTGATATCACCATAACTGTTTAATTTTAAAAAGATCAGATTGATACTGAAAATCTATCTAGTTTAATCGTCAAGTACAAGTGTTATTATTTAATCTCCTTCCTTTTCTTTCTATAAACCGAATTCTTTACTTGGAATATCAATTTTGATTGATGTACAAGTACTCCTAAAAGTATCCAGATACCCTCTTATTCTTCCGCATTGGGTTTGATTATAGAGAAAAACTAGGCTCACACCCACCCACACTCTATGTAAATGTGAATGTAAATAGTCGATTGATTGTTTTCTAGCAATTTTTTTTTGTCGTGTTTTATCTTCCAAATAGTAAAGAAAATTTACAAGAAAAACTGACTCAAATGTTAAAGATCTCATGTATTCTAAATAAAAACTGTCAAATCTTGCTTATTTACTAGAGGATTTTTTTTACTATTTGAAGAATAAAATAAAATGTTAAATTTCGCTGAAGAGCTATTGCTCGATTATTTACATTTATATGATCATGAATCTAAGCTTTAATAATAAATGAAACCATGCTACTGTTGTATGCTCTTTAACACTTGACTTTCAAATACTGGATCTATTTAAATAGTTTTTCGAAGTACAAATATTGAAGTAAAAGAACCAAGTGCACGTCACTCATTAATTTTTTTTCTCTATCTTATATTTTTATAAATTACAATTTCTTTCTTTCAAAACTCTGCCTTTTTTAAATTCTAATCATTGGCTGGAGGAAGAAGTCAAAGCAGGAGGAACGTATTTTTAAAAATCGAAGAAATTGTGGTTCAATGCAACAGCGCTTCTAGGCAGTCGAAATCCAATAGGCGTAGTGTTAATTATTTTCTTGCATTTAAACATTCACAAAAATATTGTACTTTTTTAATAACTATAACATAGAAGTCAAATTTTAAGATACGTTCATCAATTTATGCGGTACTCAAAATATTTCCTGTATGAAAAACGTTAGTGTCGTCGCGTAAAAAATTTTGAGAATGTGACAGGTTTTTCCCTAACAGAAATATCTTTGCATTCAGATTACAAAATTTTCTCAATCTTTTATACCATTGAAGATGGTTATGGCTGCAATAAACTTGGACTAATACAATGACTATCAGGTTCCATTAGAACCTCTCGAGTTCATACTTTTTGATTCCATTTATCATCGACAAAATCAACAAAGTTCGTGCATGAATTGAGAAAATCCAATGAATGCTTTTGAACTCTGTTATGAGAAAAATACTAGATATTTTGAAAGCAATTTCAACATGATGTAGAGAGCAATGAGTTATTTTTTATAACTTCACGTGCTATTGTAGAAATGAAATAGTTCGATTATATAGGATCTTCAAAAAAAATCGAAAGAAGGTATAGTCCAAATCTCTACAAATTGCAGAACCATAAAGGAGTTTCA